AGTATCCAGAAGGAAAGAAACAGATTGCTTCCCTGCTGCATTTTGGGTTCCCTGCCATGTCTGTAGCCAAGCCTAGGTCTGCTGGAGGTCTTAGCTTGATGTACCCGTGCATCTTGGCACCTGGGGGCAGTCAGCTGACTCGTTGTCTTTCTAGGTGGCACTTTTAACAAGGCTGTTGATGGCCTGGCAGGGCATTTGCTAGCCCGTGGCCTTTTCCTCACTTAAAACAGGGACCCAACAGCTTTTGGGAGTCAGCGAGTGCCAGCACTTGGCAATTTTGTTATTGGACTTTTATCTTTTCCCTGGCACACCTTAAATGCCACAGATGACTCTCTTGCCTGTGGGGTCAGGAGCCTTGCTCTCCAGATGCTTAAGTTTTAGTCGGGGAGGTCTGGGGAACAAGAGACGGATTTTACTCCATGTCCTGAATTTTTTTTTCCTGATGATTGATGGCTTAAGGACAGCTTTTGGAAGATCTGCCAGTAGGCAGACTATAAACCGATCCTTTTGGAAGACTTGTCTGAGGCTATAAGCTGATTTTTTGGCTTAAGAGCCATCCTGACTACTGTAAACTTATTTGTATGGATCTTAGCCACTTCCAGACCCATCTGTGCTTCTCAAGGCAGTTTGAGAATGAGTGGGCAGAGTTAAGGTGAGTTAGGGTGAGTCGTAGAAACCCCCCAAGCCCGCCCATTTGAGCCCGCCCACTGCCGGCGGAAGTCAGACAGAAAAGGTTGCACATGGCAGACGCAGAAGTGGGGAAGGAGAAGGGTTTAGAACTTTAGCAGAAAGCTTGGAGATAAAGTAACTTTTTATTTGCCTGTTCGCTGGCAGAAGTTCCCGCGATGCTGTTACGTAGCCGGATTTATGCTGTTATTTGGGCAGGTTTACCCGTGCCGGCCCCTATCTGCCAATGTAAGTGGCAAATGTATCTGCCCCTTTGTCTCATGGATGCAGCAGAGAGAAAAATAAAAAAATTAAAATAACAAACTGGGATCAGACTCCAATCTCGGGCATCCCTGAGAGTGGAGAGAGATCTATGAATCAGCTCAAGTCATGAGTCCTCTCTATCAAGGGATTGTGAGGGCTGTGACTGTACTGTAGTTGGTCCACCATTGAACCCTAGACACCATTTACCCCCTTGCCAGTACAGCCGAGGACAACCCCCCCGGGAGTGTCTATCACAAAGAATATAGCTCAGACTACAGCCTCAAGAACAGCAGACTCACTGTGGTGACAGCAGTGGTAGCTGTGTGGGTCCAGCAGAGGCAGTGAGGGACGCATGCACGCTTGCGGTCTCGCAGTCTCGCTGGATGGGGGAAGAGGCGGCAGGCGGCAGAAGTCACAGCAGGTCCTTGGTGTTCGGTGGTGTATCCGAGTCTGAACAGTACCAATGTTGGTTAAACTGTGTGCTCGTGGCTGGCTGCCGCCTGTGGAGGAGAGTGCTGATCGGAAGAATCACAGCCATGGTTACCTTTTTAGAGCTTTATTGTGGGGGGGGGGGGGAGAGGGAGAGAGAGGACAGACAGAAGGAAGGAGCAGAAAGGAAAGAGAGGGACGCACAGAGGGCCCACCCGCTTTTTACACTTTGTCCAACAGATCCAATGCAGTGGAGGCTAGAGGAAGTGCCCACCTCTTGCAAGCTCAGTTTTTAAAGGCAAAAACCACAAGGTTACATCACTTAGGGGTGCTAGTATGGGTATAATTCTGATTGACTTGCTTCTAGGAACTCCCTAGAAATCATGGCTTAATCTTACTTCTAAGGGAGTGGTTACCCGCCACCATTTCTCATTGGCTGCCCTTAGGTGGGGACATTTCTGTGGTCAGTTACCCTGGAAACTCATGGCCTGTACCTAAAAGGAGAAATCTCAGGCCTTAGTTTTAGGGTGAAAGCATTTTGATCTTATTTGATCTTATTTCTAAGATGGCTCATTTTGGTCTCACAGGAGGAACACTGGCTTTCTCACCTGTGGCAAAGCATTGCGGCACAGATGTGTGGGTTCACTTGGATCCAAGGAAAGGAAACTCAGAGGCACCTTAAGAATGAAATTAGCCTTTTGCAGCTGCAGGGGAATCCAGTCTCTAAGGACTGAAACATTTCCCCTTTGCCCAGAGCATTTTTATTTTTCTCAGTATTTATGGTGTAGCCAGTTGATTTCCATTTGTTCAAAACAACCTGAAAGAAGCTCCCCAAAAATACAATGCCAAGTGCAAATTGCTCAATTCATCAGGAACCACAGTTTTCCCTGTTTCCTGAACCAAGTTTTGTATATGCTTTGTATCCTTGGGAGACTCTGAGACAAGATTCACAAAGGGTATCTGCTAAACAAAAGATGGATTAGGGCTATGTGCTACTCTCTGGAGCCAGGCCAGGTGTAGCCCAGTGGGAGTGCAGTCACACTCACCTGTGAACTGAGCTGCAGTGTTTGCTTGTGGACTGACCCAGGAACTGCAGCAGCAACCCTGCCTGGCTCTCCTGGTCCCCACTGCCTGACCTTAGGCCATGGGGTGCTTGGCTCCCTCCAGCTGGGTTGCTCTCCACTGCTCAGCCTGAGCATAAGTCCTCTGAAGCTTTGCTTTTCAAGGCTGTCCCACTGGTAGTTCATGGTGGCACTTCCCATTGTTCTTTTACCCTGAGATGATCATAGCCTGTCCCAAGGTCTGGGCATGTGATCAGATGTAACACAAACAGAAGACCTGAAACAGGCTTGGCATTTGGCTGTAATGGCCATCTTAGACCCCAGTCCAAAGCACTCATGTCTATTGTGGTTGTTGAGCCAGTGACCCCTAAAGAGGAGCCATGACCCCAAGAAATTATTAGCAGAGTGAGAAGGACAGACAGACTTTGGAGTATGTCCTGATCCTGTTCTTGGGCCAGAGGACCAGGTGGCCCTTTTTTGCAGATGTATGTTTCCACATGCAGAAGTGACTGACATAACACAGCACAGGGACCTGTGAACTCAGGCCCTCACATGTCACATGTGCTGACAGATGGGGGCAGAAAGGAAGAAGACAAACATTGCAGTGACAACTGATTGACACATAGGTTCCAAAGCCAATGCTGGAAAGGAAGAGCTCGTTACAGAGTGCAGGAAGTCTTAGGCCAAGCTCTGAAGTCCTACAGGGTCACACATGATAAACTGGAATATGAAACGTGGCTTGAGTTAGGTGGGTGGACATGTGAGTGAGATCTCGTCATGTAGAGAGAGCACTTTCCAGGTATCCAGTTCCCACACAGATCATTCCTCTCTCTCTTATCTACATAGTTGTTATCCCCAAACTCTCTGTCAGAAGCAACAGTACCACAGCTCTGGAGAGGAGAAACACTGTTCAATTCAAATGTGAGCCAAACATCTGGAAAACAAACTACATGTAGCTGATAAATGGTGATAACCTCCCAGATGCGGGGGCATCAAGCTGTCGCTGAACAACACTGTCCTTACTTTATGTAATGTCAGAAGGCTTTTACAAGGACGGTATTTGTGTGAAGCCAAGGACTCAGCTTGTGGCAACCATAGTGACCTGATGATGACTCTGACAGTTTTCTGTGAGTAACTTCCTTGCCACCCGAATATGCTTGGCCTATGACCATACAAATCAGTGCTTAGGTCCATGACACCTACTGTCACCCCTCAACATCCAGGCTGCCAATGCCATCTGCTTCGGGCACATCCTGGCAGGCCAAGCCTTTGATGGTGGAAGGGTTGCTCCATTCTGGAGGGGCTGGAGGTCACTCCCAGGGATGGAAATCAGGGCAGGCCACATGTTTAAGGTTTTAATTCACAGGGTGTGGGTGGAAGTGTGTGTGGAAGTGTGTGTGTGTGTGTGTGTGTGTGTGTGTGTGTGTGTGTGTGCATGCATTTAGATCACATGGTTGCGCTGCACGCTTTATGCAACTACACAAAGCCATGGGGTCCTGGTTACCCAAGACATTTTGACCCGAAAAATGGCTAGGTGGAAGTGCCTAGGTCCGCCGAACATGCACAATCATGCCCAACCTTGGGGGCGTGTTGTGAATCCATATCAATGGCACCATAGGGAATGGACTCTTAAAAAAGCCATTTCGGGCTGGAGAGATGGCTCAGAGGTCAGGAGCACTGACTGCTCTTCCAGAGGTCCTGAGTTCAACTCCCAGCAACCACATGGTGGCTCACAACCATCTGTAATGAGATCTGGTGCCCTCTTCTGGTCATACATGCTGTATACAAAATAAATAAATAAATCTTTAAAAAAAAAAAAAAAAAAAAAAAAAAGCCATTTCATGTACTCAGGATGAGTCCTGGTCCCATTGCCAGGGGATCACAAACAGATCAAGCCACACAACTGTCACTGTCATTCACAGGGCCTAGTGTGGTCCCATGCAGGCTCTCCAGCTGTCAGTCAAGAGTCCGTGGGCTCCCACTAGCTTGGGTCTTCCCTTTTTATTGAAAAAGTTTCTACAATATATGCTGACCACAGTTTCCCTTCCCTCCATCTCCTATCAGATCCTACAAACCCAACTCCATGCCCTCTATTTCTCTCCAAAAAAATAAAATAAAAAGGCAAACAATAAAAATCAAACAAGAAATAAAAATAAACACAACACAAACATACACACATACATACACACATGCATGCATGTGCACCTGCACACATACACATCTCTCCAAAACATAAAATTGAAAAATTTAATATTCAAGCAAAAGATCAGTAAGACAAAAAAAAAAATGCCCAAACAAAGCAAAATGAGACAAAAAGTCTACAAAGATACAATCGGGTCTGTTTTGTGTTGGGTGTCTACAGCTTGGCTTGGGGCCTGCCTTTAAGTGTGGTTAATATGTCCAATGATAGACTGCACTGGAGAAAACTAGCTTTTCCTTTGCAAGTGGGTAGCAATTGCAGATAGTATGTTGGTTAGAGTGGGAGCCTGTGTCTACTTCTCCCTCTCAGTGAAGAGACCCTGTTTGGCTCAACCTGTGCAAGCCCTGGTGACATCAAATGTCTTTTTCTCTTTCTTTCAGATGGCCCAGATATCCCCACAATATCTGCACACAAATATTTCTGCAAAGGGAAATCCATAAGGCTATCCTGTGAGGCAGCCTGTTACTCAAAACCCCAGTGTTCCTGGCAAGTCAATGGGATACCCTGGGAATCTAAAAATAATGCAATACACATCACCAATATCTCCTCAAATTATACTGGATTATATACCTGTAGTGCTTATAATCCTTCAACTGGCTTAACTAATTTCACAATGCACACTGTTACAGTCCTTGGAACATCAGGGCCAATCTCTGGGGTGGTGTCTGGTTTTCTGTAAAGAATTGGGAGGAAGGAACTCCATAGCTTGTGTCCAAAGTCACAAGCAAATCCCAATCCTCCTGTGTGATCCCTTGATTCAGGAGACACTCTTCCCCTAGATACCTTGACTTCTCCCTTCAGGCTTAGTGAAAGACTATCTAAATATATAAGGTGGAGAGCAACTGAGAAAGACACCTGACATTGACCCCTGGTCTCCACACTCATGCCCTCATATGACATGGATGCATACCCATGTGCACATATATACACACATACACTACACACACAGACACACACACATACACACAAAACCAAAACTAACAAATTATGCATAAGAACTTCGATTGTAGCTGTGATGGCTAATGTTGTCAATATGATCAGACCTGGAATTACTGAAGAGAGGAACACCTGTGTAGCTGTGTGGTTCGCTACACCGGTGTGTAGGTTCACGCGGGTCTGTGGAATGAAAACACACAGGCATCTTAAGAATGAATCTAGCCTATCATGGCTGCAGGGGGGTCCAGCCTTGAAGGACTGAAGCCCTAACCCTTCACCTAGGGCAGTTTTTATTTACTCTTTTTTGTAGTTTAGACAGTTAATTTCCATACCTTCAAAGCAACCCAAAAGGAGCTCCCAGAGACTAAATACCGGGTGCAAAGTACTTGAATTATCAGGTACCTCAGTTTTCCGGATTTCCTGGACCAAGTTTTGCATAGGCCTTTGATCTCTGGGAGACTCTCTGATCCTTGACTCTCAAATAAGATTCACATAGGGCAATAAGAGAATCTAAAGGTAAGAGAAACAAAAGGTGTGTTTAAACAAAGGAAGGATTAGGGCTAGGTGCTGCTCTCTGGAGCCAAGCCAAGAGCTCAGCAGGAATGCCGCCACACACCTGGCCTTGTCTGTAGGGATTCTCTAGATGGGGGTAATTGTGGAAGAAGACCCATGCTAAACATGGGCTGGATCCCAGGACTGAGTCAAAAGGAGAAAGCCAGATGAGCTCAACAGTTATCATATTCTGCTTGCTAACTGTGGATACATGTGGCCAGCCTCCTCCTGCTCATGCCGGCCACATCTTCCCTACTATGATGGGCTGCATCCCCTGCATCTGAAGCCCAAACACACCCATCCTTAAGATGAAGAGAAAATGAGATGGCGGCTGGAGACAAACATGCCACTGTCCAAGCACTGGGGATGTAGAGGAAGGAAGAGCAGGATTTCAATGTCATCCTCAAAGATACCGCAAGTTCACAGCCAGCCTCGGCTATAGGAGACACTGCCTCAACAAAACAAATAAGAAAACATCACAGGGAATGCAAAAAAACTTATTTTGATATAATAGAGGAGAGCAGAAAAGTAACAACTAATCACAAAAGAGCGAATGGCATGCCAGCATTAAATCAAGACATAAATTAATGTAACTGAGACAAAGAAATCAAGTAAATGGAGAGTTCATTTCCTGAAAAGACACATGAAATCAACATGTCCTTGGGGAAACCAAGCCAAAGAAAGAGGTGACGTAATTAAAACCAGTGTGAAAAAGGCATTCCAAGAGACACTAAGGGCTTTGAGGATTTTTTAAAAATGTCCTGAAAAATGTACATACTAAAAACACTGGGAAAGGAAGAAGGGATGAATTCTTTCACACATGACCAGCCAAAACTAACTCACAATGTAAAAGCCAATTATGAAGACCTATAACATGTAATTGGAGTGAAATTATAATTGAAAATCTCCCCACAGAGAAGCCCAAATCTGGAGCTCTATCAGACATAGAAAGAAAATCTAAGGCCCAAAGACAATGGTTAGTGGTTAAGAGATAGGTCATGCAGCTCTGGCAGAGGACTCAAGTTCAGTTTCCATACCCTGTTGGTCAGCTCACAGCCAACTGTAATTAATTGGAGCAGAGCACATCTGATGCCCTCTTCTGACCTCTGTACACACCTCTGCTCATGTACACATGGTACACACACACACACACACACACACACACACACACACACACACTCACACTCACACACACTACACACTCATAATGAAAAGATGTTTAAAATAAAACAAAAGCATAAAAGAGAAAACCTGACAGCAATGTTCCTCAAACTATTCCATCAAACAGGTATGGTGATGGTTCATCTTCAGAACCATCTTGCCTGGATTTACAGCCACCAGGAAGAAATATGGGAGATGCACCCTGCATGTACACAGCTCCATCTCAAGGGCCAGGGCGAGAGGAGAGAGCGTCGGCAGTGCCATCCATCTCTCTGCTTCCCACTGCAGCCATGCCAGCCCCAAGTGATGACTGTGCCCCTCAGCCATCCATCCAAAGTGAGCCATTCTTTCCATTGCTCTTGTCAGGAATTTGTTCAGAGCAATAAAAGCATAACTAATACAGGAAGAAACCTGCCAAATACATCCTGATAAACATTTGTTACCCAGTCTGACAGTGGGACACACAAATACAGGAAGCTACAGAACACTTTTCTTGATAAAGACAGATGGAAAATTATCATTATAGATTTTTAAACCTAACTGAGCAATGCATTCAAAGATCACATACTATGAGCTGTTACACAAATCCTAATTGGTCTTAATAAAAACCCGGGACCAGATGTCAGAGTGAAAGCTGAAAGATCAGAGAAGCAGAGCAAGCCATCGCTACCACCTCTTACTTCACCAACTCCTCAGCCTGAAAGAGCCCGAGTTCCTGTCTCTTCCCATCTTATATTTCTTTCTCTGACCAGCCATATCACTTCCTGTCTCAGCCTTCTTAGTGCTGGGATTAAAGGTATGTGATCCCAAGTGCTGGAATCAAAGGTGTGTGCCACCACTGCCCAATTTGCTCTGATCTTCAGGCATATTTTATTTGTTCAAAATATCAGCACATTACCCCCTTTTTGCCTAAAATAATAAAAGAAGGTTATAACTAATATAAGAAAAACTATATACAACATACAATATCTACAGTCAAGATTTACATTAACAGTGTCCCGTCCATAAACATGTGACAAATTCAAAGAAAATATTCCATTATCTATCCTATTTTGGTGAGTCCAAAATGTACCTAATTCGCTTTCTATCCTAACTTGTATTACTAACCCCAAACTATCTTTTGATATCTTCCAAACTCACACACTTTACACCTTTTTAGTGAGTTTCTTTCCTGAATTTGTTAACAAGGAAAACTATAACTGTAACTATCTAATCTTCAACTCCATCAGAGACCCAAGAAGGAAATAATATTACCTGAGTAAACAGAAAGTGCAAACAAGCGACTTTCAAAAAATGTGAGAAATGACTGAAACAGCTGGCTGCCTGGACAGTCACCCAAGATTCCTCTGCAATGTTGGGGCAACCATCTTTGGCCTACAGGCCTAGCATATCTGACAGACTCATCTGTGAAGCAGGATTTTCTGAAGGGTCTTCCTACCTTGTCTTGGTAAGGTACAGCAGTCCTTTGTTTTGTGTCCTGCTTGTCCATTTTGGACAGCATACTCTCAGCAGTTGAGGTAAGGGCAGTTTCTTGCCCAGTGGCTAACTTTTGCCAACAAGAAAGTAAACTCCATATGGAGTTTCTTCAATGCCCATTATCTTCTCTGAAGTAGATTGGTGCTGCCAGGAGCAGACATGTATGATTGTCATAAAAAAAAGAACCTATGTTATTAAAACATCTTAAATGTCATATTCTATAGATCTCTGAAGTGTTTGAAGATGACCTGTCTATCTAAAATATATCTCTGTTTGACCTTGAAAACATACCTAACATGACTATAAGTTTGATTGTAATGACTAATACAATTGCATTTTTATGTCCTAATTAGTTGGTAATAATAATTTTCAAAGACTAGTGTAGGTAGAGTTTTCCTGCCTGACCCCACAGTCAGGACAAATCTCTCTCACCTGCCAGTCCCACAGCCTTTCAAACCCGACCAAGTAAACACAGAGACTTATTTTGCTTACAAACTGTATGGCCGTGGCAGGCTTCTTGCTAACTGTTCTTACAGCTTAAATTAACCCATTTCTATTAATCTATACCTTGCCACGTGGCTCGTGGCTTACCGGCATCTTCACATGCTGTTTCTCATCGTGGCAGCTGGCAGTGTCTCTCTGACTCAGCCTTCCACTTCCCAGCTTTATTCTCCTCCTTGTCCCGCCTACACTTCCTGCCTAGCCAATGGCCAATCAGTGTTTTATTTAATGACTAATCAGCAACACATTTGCCATACAGAACATCCCACAGCAGACTAGCAATTTGCATTCCATTGTTAAAAGAGCTGTATAGGTACAATACCTTGAACAAGAGTAGAAATATATGTACAGTATGTTCTAACAAAATTAATCTCAAATTTGTATCAATATACACAAATCCAATCCAATGTAAAATATTTAAAACTAGTAGTTGCTTTTAAAAAGTAGATTCAATAATACATATTTTTATCTTATCATATCCATATTTCCTTTTCTTTTCAGAGTGGATTCAGTAATCTACCTTTTGTTCTATCATATCTGTATCCCCCTTTTTCCTTTTCAAAACAAGAACCCTGAATTTAATCTCCTTTGTTTATTCTTTTTCCCAACCATTAACAATAACAACTTGTAGCATCCTAAACAATGACAATTATCTATAACCCACTGAGTGACCAAAACCCACCTACCCCACCTCTTAGGAATGTGGATGTCAAGTTCTTAAAATTACTTCCTGTTGTCTGGGGGCAATGGCATCTTTAGGACATCTTGAAAAGAAAAATGTTGGGTTAATTTTCAAGTCCTGGGAGAGGTAGCTGTATCATTT